TATATATGTTTGTTTTTATGTATGTATGTATGTATATTGGTATGTATGTATGTATGTATGTGTGTATGTATGGATGGATGGATGTATGTATGTATTGGAGGTGAATTTTGACTTGTGACTCTGCGTACTTTTGGAATGTAGTCGGAGATACTGGGACTATATAGAAGCTTTAAAGCACACTTGATAGGCTAAGGAATAACTTCATTTCCTATCGTTGACTGCTTTATCTTGCGAAACTACCTCAGCTTTTTTAATTGAGATCCTGCCTTGAAAAATTGCACTTTAAGTGAGTGGTGTAAGTGTGAACCCCAGATTATGGTAGCGTGTCCGTGATGTTCGGCTACGCTGGTTGTAGGCGTATTGAGAATCGTCCCCATAAAGGGATCAGTGGGGTATCAAGGCCTGGACACTTTCGGATCTCCCATATGTGTCGTTCATACGTATTCAGGGTGAAATACAGGGTTGTATTTATACATGCACAACTTAATCACCCATATATGAATGTCTAAATTCAAGTTGGAGTTTGGTACGGGCGGTAGCAGTGACAGGGGTAGTGGCAGCGGCTTGCTGGTGGGTCTGCCACTGACTGCGAAGTCTCTTGTACTTCATTTCTGCAGAGTGTTCCACACCTCATTAAGGAGGGCGGCATATGCTGATACGGCCGCACACTTCCTCCGATGGCCATTTATGCCAATCTCCACAGTACTTAAAAAATATGTTCGCACAACTCCAGTTTGATACTGACTATCGATATTTTTGTCCACGCTTGTTTGCACAGGTCATTCCCCACATCAGAGATCAGGGTGTCAATCTGAAGTACATACTCACAACACACAACCACTACGACCACGCGGGCGGTAATTCGGAGATGGCCAAAACATTCCCGGTAGGTCCAAATCAATCTCAATCTAGCTTATGATATATGAAGGCCGGTGGTGGCATGTGTCTCCACTACCATCACCATCGCAATGAGAGCTAGGGCGGCCTTGTTTCGGTGTGATGTTTATTCGAATAGTAGCCAGTTGTGCTTGACCACGGACATCTTTTGCTATGCTTCTATATTACGTTGCAGATATTTGTCCAGTTCTGAGCCTTTCACTGCCTTTGAACTGTACGGTGATAACAAAGAGACGTCTAAGCTATCCCTAGACACCTTATTCGGTTATCACGCCCTGATAAGCGCATAGTTAGCTGGCCGTGTGGGCAAAGCTTCGCACTAACTTCAATTCGTACTGTCCCATCGCTCCATACGATTGATCGCCTCAACCGCGTCATAGGATGCAGTTGTCGTGGGTGGAAAGGGAGACAAGGCAGAGGCCGTTACCAAGGAAGTGTGGCAGGACGACCAGTTCAGTATGGGCACATGTGTTGTGAAAGGTATGGGGTATAGTCTGCCTTCATAATTGTGCGTGCTGTGTGGTGGCGGCTCGTGCCTTATAGATACAAGCTACCTTGGTGTGTGCCACGCTTGCTGCTAGGCCCTGCTGAGGTGACGGGCGTAGTAGTAGACGGTGGGTGGTCCCAGTACGTGCAGTCGTACGCACTGGAAAAATTGTTGTGTGGTTGAAAGCAGGTGTGTTCCAATTCACGATACAGCGTAGTGCACCATTGCCGTTGTCTGTGGCCATACGGGCTCTCCTGAGGACATACCGCAAAGCAGAATCAGACCACATCCCCCCGGCCCTGTGTTGTATATGAACTTGCACCAGTGTGGTTTCACGAGCGCGAATGTACTACTCACGTTATATTGGGTTATGCACGGTTGCTTAGCACTTCTGTTTCCAATAATGATCCCAGCGGGTCCTGTATTCCCATGGCTCTTTTGATGCAGACGGGAGTGTTTATTTAAAAAACAGGACAATCTACGCGGTACAAATAACTGACGAGTTTTCGCACTTTTACCCCGTCCACAGTTATCAGCACTCCCTGTCATACCCCCGGCCATGTGTGCTACCACATCCATGATGAAGAGGACAGGTATGCAAGGCTTATATATTCATATGATATGATATGCTACGTTTGAATATTCGTTGAAGTATATTGCTCGGCCTAGGTGCATCATCTTCCGATATCTTGCGCTCAACGAAGGTCGAACAGTGTCAGTGTGCGATTGGGCGAAAGCGTCGAGTTGTGGTGGAGACTAGGAATGTTCCCGAAAGACTATTCGCATATCCAGCTCACTCGATATGCAAGGTTGACAATACGTCATCTGAGAGTGAACTTTTGCGACCACCCACTGATTTGACTATATCTGCTGGCTTATCAGTCTGCCATCCGTACCGAATCACGCCAGTGTGTTTAATTACATGGATGTCCACAGTGACGAATTTTCATATGATATTTATGGACTAATAGTACTACTTTCTCTCTCTTTGCCCGTGTAGTGTGTTTAATTAAATGGGTGTTCACAGCGACACAATCCTTCCATGATATTTTTCGGGTGACTAGTAACACTTTCTTTTTGCCCGTGTAGTGTGTTTATCTACCTGGGTGTTCACAGTAACACAATCTTTCCATGATATCTTCAGGTGATTAGTAATACTTTCTCTCTCGTTGCTCGTGCAGTGCATCAGGTGGCAATGTCTTCACTGGTGATACCCTTTTCGTCGCGGGCAGTGGCAATTTGAACTCAGGGACCCCCAGGCAAGTCCACTGGCGTAATTTGTATCAATCTCTATGTTCTACTTGTGTATTGCCTATAAGGCCACCACAGGCAGTGATGTATTAGCGTACTTGCAGGCAGAGCAGCACAAGCTTTGCTGAATTTGCGTGCACTTATTGGAGAGGCTCGCTTCAGTACTGTTTGTGCTTGTCGTCATCGATCTGTGAATCAAGCTTACTATACAGCTATACTGAGAACACATATGACTTTGTGTCTACTCCCTGTGTGAATACATATGAATACAAAGTCGTAATCTACTGCGTTAACAGGGAGTGTGTCAGAGAATAGACGCAATGGTATATGTGTTCTCAGTATCGCTGTATTGGCACGACTGTTTGCTCCTGTGATTGCACCAATGTAAGTTAAACCCCTCGATTGCGAGCGTACGTAGAATCTCATATCGGGACTGGTGCGTGCGCACATGAATTTGCACTCGCAAAACAATGCGATCTCAATCGAATAGTTGTTTGTTGAATTAAACCACAACCGGTTACAGACATGTGTTGTCTTGAGGGCGCTGATCTTGCTCAGACTTTGGTCTCAACAGTAGCCTCCAAGTCATGACCGCCACATATATAAGTATTTGTTAATGCTGGACATGATACGTATGATTGATATGAGACAACCATCAGTTTCTTCCCCGGTATTCCATGACTCGCACTGGCAGAAGTCTGTACATTCAAAACAGCTTGTGTGCCAAACTTCACACCCATCATCAAAGCTCACCATGCATCAATACTTGTTGCGATGGATCTGTACGCAGAATGATGCACGATGCCTTGTGCAACAAGCTAGCCCACCTCCCCGACGATACCAATGTGTGGGTGGGCCACGAGTATACGGTAAGTTCCAAGGACAATTTGTCCTATTCCGTGGACTTGTCGTTTCTTGGTATATCACCGCATAAGCATTCCTTGCGTATCGCTCACATTCGTATCCATGGAAACACAATGCGCTGTGACGGGTCTCGCGGTTTTTTGACGTGTGCTCGGGGACTGAGGCTTTTGGATAGTCTGCGCAGATTCATTGCATTGGCCCACGCGTCTCGACATTGTTAGGTGCTTGTCATGCGTTCACCTCCCTGAGATATCACATCCCACTACACAGATGAACAACCTGAAGTTTGCCGTCACGGTTGAGCCTGAGAATGAGGCTCTGCAGAACAAACTCAAATGGGCACAGCAGCAGCGCGACCAAGGCCTGGTGCGTATGAGTGTGCAATTGACGACGACTATGTTTTGCGTCAGCCCTATACACACCTACCCTATAAAAGCCTGCTCTCTATACACCTGCCCTATATACGCCTGCTTTGATGTCCTTGACGAGTGCTTGCACGCATGATCGCAGAGCTACTTCTGTATTTAACCGCAAAATGATTGTGAGTTGCGAGATGTTGCATACGCTCATCACAGCCAAGTTCATCTTCATATGATATCACATTTGATTATATACTGTGGATAAGCCTAACATCAGTCTGGCGCCTACTGTGTTGCTACGTGAACTTATTGTCCGCACAACTTGGAGCTTATCTATTGATATTCGACTCTGCGTTTGTAGCCCACGGTGCCTTCAACGATCAAAGATGAGAAGGAAACGAATCCATTCGTGAGATGCACGCAACCGTCAGTTCAAAAATGGGCAGGTACGTAGCGCAGTTGCACGTTGACAAATATATACATACGTACACAATCGTACACACACACACACCCACACCCACAACCACACACCCACCCACACACCCACACACACACACACACATACACACACATACACACACACACACACACACACACACACACACACACATATATATATATAT